AGGTTTTACTCATTAACAATAGGAGCTAAGAATGAACGTACCAACTATCTTAGGCAATAATTTCAGTTGCGACAGCTGTTATTTTCAAATAACATTAAATATCAACGTAATTGTTCACGAGTCAATTAAAGCTAGACAACCATGAGAAACATGGAAGGACTGGACGGTCGTTTCATCCTAGCGTGGGACCCCTCAGCAGTGCCTATCCGCAATCTCGCTCCAGAGGATTCGAACACAGGACCCACCTCAGTCGTCTAGATTTTGAGCGTCCTTGTGCGAGATCGATAGGCCAAGGTTAGAATCCCGTGGGCGAGACCGTAGATGCGCACTGCTTACAGGCTTCCCATGATGGCCTAGCATCGATTAACTCATGATTTCAACTATTGATATATATGTTTATTTTTCTCCTGCATGTGTGTAAATGTCTGTAAAGTATTCAGATATCTGTATATATATATATATATATATATATATATATATATATATATATATATATATATATATATATATATATATATATATATATATATATATATATATATATATATATATATATATATATATATATCGGGGACATTAGATCCCCAGAACTCACTTGGGAAAGGACCTAATTTTGTAATTTTATTTAGAAAATTTGAATTTCTTTGTTTTCGCGCCAAGAGCGTGTAGTGGCTGTGCTTTGATAACTAATCACCCTCGTACTGTTACCATATCATATTCAACGGCGTTTGAAATCAGAAGGTAAAAAGAAGCAGCTACTACAGTTTATTTAGCAGATAATTCGGACCACACAGAAGAGAGGCAAAACGAATGAGTAAGCGAACTACGATTGTAGTAGTAGCAGTAGTGAGTAGTAATAAGTGTAAATGTACATATATATAGGGAAATAGATGAGTCAACGAATAGATTAAGCAGTTAATAATGAAGTTGGCAGAATGAATATATGCGTAGGCGGTAAACAATGTTCGTTCACACATGTTTCATACAAGTACAATAATAATAAAAGTACAACAAGTTGTTATAGTGCGGATGACTTTGTCCGCTAGCTAAGTTAGCAAAAGGGATTAACTGAGTTAAATGAGAATAAACTCAATTGCACGTGAGTCGCTATGGTCGCTCTTCTCACCTTCATGTTGTATTTTCAACTGGAAAATATTTTAAATGCTATGGTCCGTTGCGTCCTTTAGTATGCTATTTGGTAACTCTCCCCAAGGACGGTTTTGTACTGTATATATACGTTTTGAATTGGTTTGTTGCTATCGCTCTTTTCTGGCTGTTTGCAGAATATACTTTCCCATCCCATGCTTGTACTTTTCCCTCTAGTTAGCGGGGCTGGGACGCACCAATAGCTAGCTTACTGGGCTTTAGTCACCAAGTCTTGTTTCTCGTTCGCAGATTAAGTGAACTCGTGATAGCTTCAACCCTAGCACGATATATATATATATATATATATATATATATATATATATATATATATATATATATATAATTTCATCTTAATCTCAGATCATTATTAGTAAATACGTAAGTCGTAATAATTGATTTACATTGTTACTATTCGCAGTACATACATAACTAAAGTTCAATAATGTTATCAAATAAGATATCACTAAATACAATGAAATACTTCTATCAATTTTATAATCATAACACATTTTACATTCAGTTCATATCACAACATATTATTAATATATCTGATTACAGATATCTGAATACTTTGTAGACATTTACACATATATAGAAGAAAAATAAACATATCTTTCAATAGTTGGAATCATGAGTCAATCGGAGCTAGACCACCATGGAAAACTAGGAAGCACTGGACGGCCGTTTCGTCCTATTGTGGGACTCCCGGTCTTGCGAGCAAACGCTTAACCACTAGACCACTGAGCCGGCATCCGACGGTGTTAATGTCTAACTTCAACTAATCCACGAAATTGAGCTATACATTCACCATTGTCATCTCACAATTGACCTGGTTGACTCATCTCAACTATTGAAATTACTACGATCTCCCCCCTAAACAGACATTTATTTATTAAAATAATTTATTCACTATTAGTATAATTAAATTCATTATAATTAATGATGAGGGGTAAATGTTTAGTAAATCTATCATTTAGAAATGAAATGTTACTATTACAATTTAGTTATATTTGTAAATATATTATCAAGATGATTAAAATGAATTCATTAACTGTTCGTTTAAAAGTACGGATCAGATATGAATAAGTGAATAATGATAATCTTTAATTTGTATGTATTTCGCCACAAATATTTACAATGAAAAATGTATAATTCTAGGTAAGTTTCCGATAGAAAATTAAAATAAAAAGTGTCAATAGATTATGTTGAACTACTTAAATAATGAACAGAATTATCAATACAAGATTACATTAATATGATAACTATCATACCGATTATACAAATCAGAATTATTCATATTACCAATCTGTAGGGTCTACATACTAAATAAAACTATTAATAACTATTTGTATGGATTTAAAATTTATCAGCAATGCATCAGAACAAATGAGTCAAGTCAAAATATAGTCTTTTAAAAAATGAAGACTATACTACTTTAAGCCAATAGTGTTAGTATTATCCTTGGGCTATTAGTCTGGAGGTGAAAAATATTTCAAATGATAGTTACGTCTGTTAAATGGATTAAATGTACATTTCCCAAGTTACATTTAATATTTTAAGTATGTATTTCATAAGTTACGTGATTAGTTATATGCTATAGCAACTCTTACAATTTCCAGTATGGTTAATTTTTATTAGGCCTTGCATTAACTTACTTAACAGACAATATTCTTCAAACAGTAACAATTCGCATATTTCTTTGTACTATTATGGTCAATATCTTCTCTGTATATACGTGTACGCTTGACTACATGACAGTCTACACACGTATCTCTCTGGCTTAAATATCGCTTGATGAGTCATTCTGTAACCCATGATATATTACTCGGATCCTATTAATAGCCTTTGGCTTGACTAGCTGCACGTTGATTCGATTTGACCTGAAAAATTCACCTCTATATTAGCCGCTCTGCTTCATATTCGCTCGATGTGCTTATAGCTTTGTGATCTGTGTTGTCCTCTAATAAACTGTGGTCGCCGCTTCTTATTGCTTTCTGATTTGAAACGCCGTTGGGATTTATATGATAACGGTTATCAAGTTAATTGATTAACGAAGCTAAGCCACTACAATGCTAATATAGTGTTCATATACGTGGACGTGTGTTGATCAATCTTCTAAATTGAATTTTTAGTATTTATTTAGTCTGATGATACAAAAAATTCCTGTCAAACTAATATAACAGATTTCCAAGAATTTCGAACAAATCCACTCATTCGATAAACAACTACCAAAATTGATTTAGGAAATAAAGAATCAGAAGGGCTTTTTTTGGAGATTTTAATTTTATAGTTAAATTGATGAGTCGGTTCCTAGTATGGGAATTCTCAACATTACACATTCATGACCACGACCCACAAGATTCGAACCCAGAACCAATCGGTCTCGAGCGCGAACGCTTAACCTCTAGATCCATTCGTTAGAATATTATGGTTAATTTCAGCACTAATATGAAACAATCGATATGTAGTTGAACAGTTAATAAACCCGATTAATAAATTTAGCTCAGCGTTAGTAGTAACCATTACGGGTTAACTTGAGTGCATGCAATTTTTTCGTAACTGACTGGTTTCAAAGTGATATTACATCATACCTGTCTGGCATTTTGCTGTAAACTTTGAAAACGGCCATCTTTGTTTGCAAAAAGTTAATATCTGGTATTAGAAATTACGTAATTAGTTTGATATATTACACTAAATACAAGCTTATTGATTTTTTGAAGTAAAAATATTATATAACTTATATAGGTCATGAACAATCATCACAAATAATCGCGTTAACACATAATAAATATTCATGATATGAATTGGGCGCAGACAACCAAAAATGATGTTCGTTTAGGCCTTAGTAACTAAATAAACCAAAATACTAATTTTTCAAAAGTTACCAACACCTTTGTTCCTATTTTAATACACTGCCATTTTGAATAGAAGGTACAAAAGCGAAACATAACTAGGAGCAAATACTTAAGAGTTTTTCATCCAAGTCTATGCTGGATCTCACTAGAAATCATTTCGATCTCTTCTTCTAAACTCTAGTCGCTAATGACAACACATTTCTTGAGCATATAAAGTCCGATAAACGAATAATAACTGCATTTGAATTGAAGTCTGATCATTACATTATAGCACATATGACCAGGAAAATAGACGCCAACTCGAGTGTGTAATTTGTGTTTAGCCGGGGAATCCAGATAAATTTAGTAGAGAGAAGCTGTTATCTTATAGTTCAACGTAAAAGGTATCAAGAATTCATTATCAACATCACCATTTAGAAAACAAACATCGAAATACTGACAGTTTGTTATCTAAATATTTACCCTTGATCGATTATGTACAATCAACCTGTTTCAATGGGGCAGTACATTATTATACTTTAAAACAAAACAAAGAAAAGACTCATCATTTGAATCATGAACAACTTTTGTTTATTTATTCAATGAAGAAATAGAAAAGAAATCAAAATATAAAAAAATTGTCAGGTTGATTAATTACAAATTAAATCAATTCTCTATGGTTTTTTCTTTAAAAGTAGAATACAACCTATCCATATCATTTCTTGTTATATAATAATTCTACATACACCAATAAACTATTTTCAAAAGAGATATTCAATTTTGTCCATATTTTTTGTATGTACAGTTGGGACATTATATGCAGATAAGTAAGCAATTTACAAAAAAAGAAACAATTACATGCAGTTTTACTGCATATGACAAAGTAAATCTGTTAACAATCTCAATGATCACGTTTCAGCTACTGTCATAATTATAGTAATAGTTAATCTAAACATCAGATCACAGGTAAGACAAAGTAGTATGTACACACTTGGTGTAAAATATTAAGTATTCTAGAAATTAGTTTACACATTTATTTGATAGCACATGTGATGGACGTATTGAATGTCGAAGTTTTTTGGCCCATGTAAAATGACGTACATTGCTATTATTTGTTGTGGTATAAATACTAGAATTTGATTGGTATCCCAAGGGATCACGAGTCTCAATAAATGAACATTTAGATCTTCTACAAGTATCAGTATTATCATTTGTGAGACTACTAGTGTTTATTTCCTTTAGTCTTTCTGTGGCAAGAGATGGTAATATTGCTGGACTAGTGATACACTTTTTTCTATTTATTGTGAAAGGTGTATTTGCATTAAGTGAACGACGTCCTGAATTTGTTGTAACTTTTGAAACAGCACGTCTTAATAAAGAAAATGGTTTTAAACTTAATCGACCTTTAAGAGCACTTTTGGAATTCACAAGTGTAGCCGGGTTATTATTAGGAGTTTGCGAAATAAGACGTTCTTCGTTCTCCTGACTTTTATCATAACTTTTTGGAGTTTGTAACGAATAACAGTTTAAATGGGTCTTTGAATGATGTTGATCACCAGTAGATGTATTGACTGATCGTGTTTCTTCACTATAACATATGGAAGATGGCAGAGACGCTATGTTACCCTCATCATGTGCTGTAGAGAGATTGTTGATAGTTCTAAAGTCAGATTTATTGAGTGTTGTTGATGTATCTATGTTAGTAAGGTTATCTGAATGACAACATTGACAAATATGCGACTCAGAAGTAGCTATAAGATGACCATGTTCCGAAAAGCAGCTGCAAATACATCTGGCAGAAACTGCTATTCCAAAAGGTAGTGTATTGATATTTTCTATGAGAGTAGTAGGTACCCTTCTTCCTCTTTTGTCAATATGTCTCAGTATAACCTTGTTTCCAGTTGTTTCTTCTAAACAATTTTTTGCTGGTGTATTGGAACATTCATCAGAGGCGGTTGTTTTGGATTCCGATTTTTGTCTTTCCTCATCATGTAAGTCCTCATTTATTTTTAAAACCCTTTCTTCATATGGAGACGAATTGTTTGTCTGTGAAGATAAACATGAACAACCTGAAGTCGACCAGTTGGACGAGGATGTATTTGATGAGGTAGTCTTTTTAGGTATACACTTAACACAATTCAAGTTAGGCGATCCAAGTATGTCAGTGTATTCAACAGAAGCAGATGAATTGTTGAAACCAATACCTGATGACTGTGTCGTTACACTTAGTGGTTGACGTTTAAGATTTTTAAGTTTCCCATCAATTGAATAACTGAAAATCAAAGAAATGAAATAAATTTGTTGAAAAAATATAGATTGAGAACCTAAAATTATATTCTGCATTTCAAAGCATTAGTATTAGTATTAACGGTTATTATTACCTTTCATGGACTGTTTTCTTTTTTGTATTATCCATGTATTCACTGGAACAATTTTGATTATTGTTGAATTGTGGTAGAGAGCGAACTCGAGCAATTTTGTTCAGTAGACTATGTGGAAGATTGTATGTATCATCAACAGAAACAATGAAGAGTTCTGATGATAATGAATGTGAACGTTTGGATGTTTTAACATATTTTCGACGTCGATCATGAACAACCGTTTTATGTACAGTACGATCTGGAGATGTTAGTTTATGTTGAACGACAGCGGTGGTTAGTGTCTGTTTATAAAGAAGAACAAATATTTCATAAATAAAACGTCACATCGCATTGAGAATTACTAGAAACCAATTAATAACTATTTTCAGTCAGGTTTACTAGTCGATCCAAACTACACCACTATTGGAAACCTGGAAGCACCGGAGGGTCGTTTCGCCCTAGTATGGGACTCCTAAGGGGTGCGCATCCACGATCCCTCACCAAATGGACTCGAATCCAGGACATTCGTTCCCGAGCGCGAACACTTAGCCTCCAGGCCACTTAGGTGGCAACCAACGGTGTCAATGCCTAACTTCAATTGATTCATGGTATGGCGCAAACCTTCAGGTAGATAACTGTCTCTACCCGACACGGATTGCACTCCACTTGTCATGACTGCTCAGTAGAACTTCAGGACATCTATCTTGAAGTTAGCCACCAGTGAGCACATGATTATTACCAGTATCGGGAATTGTGGTATTTTCACGGTCGAATTCACAAGTCAACCACTATTAAAAACTAATAACGACAAAACGGCCATCATGTAGTCTAATTTGGATAGACTCTTGAATTCAGCTGTGAAAGTACCTAATTTATTCACTAGTTTTGTGTTATTTTTGATGTACATGTACATTTATTTGCATTACAATTCTAATCAACTTTGTTTCCAGTTGTGATAAAAACTAAAATTGAATGAGATGTTAATAGTTATTCAGAAAAAGAGATCAGTAATTTTATAAACTCATAAACTACATATACAGTACGCTTTCATTTAGATGTTACTTTGAAAGAAATGAAAGTAGGTGATCGAGTTTATGAGTTGCATGGATCTTTCTGTCAAGTAAGTTTGCTTTTTAGCGACATTCAAAATGCCCCACTACTTTTGAAAATATTTGTAATAGATAATGAAATAGCTGTGGCATGCAAATTAATTGTCATCATTCAATTATAACTCACCGGAGGATTGGTAGTATTGGAATCAGAAGGATGATGGAAACCTTTGTTCAAAGCAGTAACATATCTAGTTTCTACAGGATATAAAACTGAATTAGATGAGGTGGATTTAGATTCAGTTGTTATATCTTGCTTAATTGGCGTTGCATTCATTGTAGTAAGAGGATCTGGATGAAAGTATTCATCAATAACTTGTTGTACTGGACATTCTGCAACCGATTCCTCACACTTGAAAGATTCTTCATAGCAGAGCTTACTATGACGTGGGAGAGTATGTTGTGTCCGTCTTCCTACAATTGTTGACTGAGGGGCATCTGTAAAAATGTTGTTTTTACGTTCAAGACAATTGTTTGGAATTTTTGTAGTGGTATTAGGTGTGACCGGTGTGGAGATATCATGAAATTTTATCGCATCAAGCTTTGATCGTCTAGGTGATGCACCGCTCCCTATAGTCCAGTTAGAAGAACTAAGTTTAAGTGGATTCCATGTTCTTCGTCGCTTGCGAAACTGATTTTGTATTATTTTTCTGTCAACTGAAATAACAGGCTGCTTTTTATTCAATTGCTGATTTGACAATAATATATTTTTGATATGATTCATTTGTTGAGTGATATCCTTCAACTAGGAATAAATAATAAAATCAGAACAAATTTTCATTATGAAATTTGATTGAGACAAAGTATGAATAATTAAATGACAGAACAAATTGAATTCTCAAAATCTATAGAATGCTTAGAAGAAAACACTGATTAGTGTAGAAATGAACAAATCCATATTCGAACAATAACTAGGAGTAAGATGTGTTTAGAACTACCGGTAGGTATAAACCTTAAACAACTGCTATCATATTATTCACCAAAATGATCTATTTAAAGTCGTAATCAAGGCATCGTATAATATAAACTGCCCCTAAATACCCTAGTAGTAAATTCAGTGGTGGTAATACATAAAAGAAAGATTGCATATAACGACATAGTACAGGGAGAAAGAATTAGTTCGAATAAAGATATGAAGCGATTTTAGTCTCATAGTTTAAGGAAGATAAAGACTGTATACACTGACGTCATTGTGATCGATTCTGAGCCTTGTCACCCAGAGTACCCAACGATTGGTTACGAGTCACGCGGACCCCAACCACATAATCTACATGTACCAACATGGCTCAGACCAGAAGTTAGTGACTTCAAGCACTGATGCCACGTTTTGGTTCGCGGAGTGCGTACATAAGAAGACGAAAAGAGAATGTCTGACTCTTTTACCGGGTTGGTGGATATGAAGGATCCACTTGGCAGAGTTGGAAATCAATGATTCTAAACCAATGGTGAATACAGGCTCCAGGATCCTGAGAAAACAAGTGGCGTATGGACCTCTTGTTGGTCACACACTACAATGGGACTGCATCTGCTAACGTTGCTCCACTGCCTTGTGGATTATACCTCTAGGTCAAAGGCTCGGGGTTTGGTCACCTGAAAAAACCATCTACATAGATTTGGGCACCTAGGCAGTATTCCGGCCTTCACACAAATCGAACAACGAAGTGTAGCACATATATATTTGGTGCCTCCTTTTACCAATGTGTTTAAATAAATAGACAGTAATATAAAGTATAGTAACACCACCGAAAAAACAAAGTTAAGTACACCGTTTGTTGACTATGTAAGTCACTAAATCACAGAACTAGATGATAGCAGAAAACATTATATGATGATAATCACAGAGATATTAAAATAGAATCAACACAATTAGCTCTTTTCAACATACAAACGAGTGTTACAAAAGATTAGTTATCTAAGAAGCCTATGTAACGCAATAAACAGTAACAGTAAGTATTGATGTGGAAATTACCTTTTTAGAATTAGATTTATATGCAATTTTATATGATTCAAATTTCGTCTCTTTTGCTCTTTGTTTATGCACAGCATATAATTGTGATATAACTGCAAAATCAACTTCAAGTCGTCGTAATTCAATTTCATAGGCTACACGATCAATATCTTCCTCTTTTTCATCGTGAACATCACTGTCTATTTGTGTAGCTTGATTATTTTCAACTAAATCTTCGGTTACCAAGTTTTTCAATCTTAAATCACTATCAAACTTTTCATTTTCCACACATTCAATGTTCTTGTCAGAGTGATTATGACAATTAATATTCGATGATAAATTACTGGGGTAATTGGATATTATTTCTTGATTATTATTAGTATTATTCATACCATTTTTAGTTGATCTGTGATCACTTCGAAGAGAAATTGTTGGTGAATAGTCAGCTGATAGGAATGAACTGTAATCAGATATTGATGTTACATGATTTAAACGATAATACTCTGATGGAGTTAAATGAATATCCGTTTTAAATTTATAATATTGATATTTATCAAAAGTTAAATGCCCAGAACTATAATCGTGAATAGAAGAAGTATTTGAATTAGAGCATCTATCAGTTAAATCAATAACGTTATATAACTTTTCATTTGGTAACAATAATTCAGTACTAACACTACGACCAAATGCTTCAACTAAACGTTGTGCTGTATTTGATGACGTTTGATAATTTCGTCATTTGGAAGTGAAAAATTATCGATTTCTGAATTGATTTTAGTTGGTTCAAATTCTACTGAAGCATTTTCTGTTGGTTTATTAGTAGCCTATATAGAATGTGAAAAGAAGAATAAAAGGAATTTTACCAATTAATTGTAACGTAAAAGGAAGTATTTTCGTAATAAATCAAAACTAAACAGAACACTATTAACTGAACCATAAATTATGTCCAAGTAGCAACATCTTAAATTCGATTCAACTTTATGGTAAGACAATATACAATTTACTTTTTAGTGATAAAAAACGTGAAATTTTACGGCGGTTAACATGCTCTAGTCTAATGCAATGAAATTTCTAATGTATCTGAATATCATAAATATTTATCAGCTAGCATGACTAATTTCACTTATCTATCCTTTCAGAACAACAGAAGAGAACTACTGTAAATAGAACATTTCAGTCCTGAAGTTGTATAAATAAAATGAACTGTAATAAAGTATCTAATAGCCTTATGAAGTTGATCGTCAAGTAATTTTCACGTAGAAAGATTATCGTTGAATGTTCACGAAGGTCACAGCTACAGAATACAATCATTCATGGATATTTCCGATTTGCTTTAATTTTGTTATTTAACGACTGTACAATTAATAATTTAATCTAATTTTTATGATAATGTATAAATGTAAGAAAAATGTGTTCATTCCATGTGACGGACAATCATAACAAGAAAAGAAAACAGTGGAGAATTTGAATTTAGCTAACTGGTCATATGTTACAAGAAAAGATCATAATGAAATTGAACAGTAATCGAACACTTACAATAGTTAAATATTTCTTCTTTTTCTTTAGAAATTCATAATATTCTTGTTTCATACTGACTGTACTTGCTTTATGAACTAATACATGTGATAAAGGATATGATGTATTCTTTACAGGTTTATTGTATATACCAAGTTTCATGCTTAAAGATTCATAGTCTGAAGGTACGTTTCCAGTAATTGACTGTTCAAAAATGAAAGAAAATTCAATTATATTTTTCTTAAAACTCTACTTATGAAATGAAATCTAATATTTAAGAGAATTCAACATTTAAAAGAAATGGTAAGAATATGTTTTGTATGATTGTACAGTTATAAAAACACAAAAAAGTAAAATTCAGTAAAATTTGCTTTCTGTATATCACACATGTGTGGACGAGTTCGCGCGTGACTAAAGGTTCTGAGTTTGAGTCTCTTTGGTGAGGGATCGCGGTTGTGCATTGTTGAGGAGTTCGATATTAGGACGAAACGACCGTCCAGTGATTCCAGAAGTTCCATAGTGATCTAGCTTAGATCGACTCATGATTTCAACTATTAAGATTACTAAAATCTTCACAGATCCCTATTCTGATAACATGTTAAATGTACAAACGGCAAACCTCAATGAACTTATTAAAAAATAGTGTCCAAATTCTACATTTGTAAAAATTTATATAAATGGTGATACAACTACATTACAAGTTGTTATATATAGACATGTGCAATAAAATCAAATAATTGGTCAAGTTTACCTAATCAGTGACTACTATTTAGATAAGGGGCTGTAGTGACAAAGAAATTCCCAACCCGAAATCCTTTATTCCTGACTATTGGTTTAACTGGATTTAGGATCTTTCGGTTATAGAGGTGTTATAAACAAAATAGTTGTCGCACTTTAAGTATTCGTGATCTTTTTATGTCAAATAAAATAACGTTTATCATTATCACTAATATCAAGCTACAAAAATATTCATTTGTCAGGTGGTTACTGACATTCAGAAAAAAACCAAGAATTCAATTTTTTGATTGACGACAGTTAAATTTTCACGAAATCATGAATACATTGTTTATTACTTACCCATTCTTCATGTAACAATGTCAGTAGCTCTTTATCAAGTTGTTCTAGTCGTTGAACAATTTGAGAGTGACGTTGAAATAATGACTGTATATCATCACGAAGATAATTTTCAGATTCACCAAATGGATGCATTCCTGTAGATGGTTTGTAATGTTGTAATGAATTTTGAAGCTCTGTGATACAACCTATAATAAATTATATAGATTAATGTAAAGAACCGTAAAATAGTTGGTAATTTGTTCTTCTATAGAGAAGGATGTTCAAAAAATATTTCGAGAACAAAACTGACTTTACCTTTATTATATGTAGAGATCGAACTGAAATGATAACCACGTGTTCAAAAAAACATTTTTTTTTCTTAGGAAAAAGCAACAACATACAGTTTGACCTCAACTGTTTTTTAAGAAATGAAAAACACTCGACCGATGTCAAGAAGTGATGGAAAACAAACATTGAGGAAAAAAGAATAACAAATTACGGAAATGAACATGGACATCGAAAAAAGTAGATAAAATATTTTTGTCTTATATAACAAAAACAAATCTTCATATCTAGGTTATACTAGCATTCAGACACTGAATTATGTGACTGATTACAAATAGAGATTATATATATATATATATATATATATATATATATATATATAGAGAGAGAGAGAGAGAGAGAGTCCGAAATCAATAAATTGTAATAGTGAATTATGTGTATCATACGAAATTTATCGTCATTAGACTTAGCAGACGACTTCTTATGGTGGAGCTTAAATAGAGAAGTGAAAGCAGACATAAGATGTAATTGATGAACAAGTAACAATCGATCACATTTAACTAAGATTCTTGTCTTTAAATTAGATTTGGTATGTTAAATATTGATTTTAGTGTCTGATATAATAATGACATCATAGTTATTACCAGTGAACCCTAAATGAAAATGTCACTATCCGAATAATTTTACCAGTAAGTGTACATACCATCGTTTTCTTCTTCGTATGACAAAATGTTTTTCGGTTACAAGTTAAAACATCATTGTTATATTTATGTAATTCAACTCAAGTTTCTTTTTTATTTTATCTTAAGATCATGACTAGTGATGATGTAACAGTTTCAATTGTTTATGGGTAAAATATCATTGAATAACAAATAGTTATGAATCATTTTGTCAAGTTAAACACGATAAGGAAAAATATTTCTCACGATTAAAGGTCATATTATTTATTATTGATCAAATAGACTTACCATCTGATGACTTTTCCATAGTATTATGCGATTCTTTACAAATCGATTTTTCTAAGGATATTCCTTGTTTGTTTCCATTTAAATCCGCAGAAATCTGATCGGAATTATTATTATTCTCATACTGATTACTTCGATGATTGTCCTAAAATATTATCGAAGAAAGATAATTAATACTCATGTTAGGCGGGAGTACACGTATTTCGATGCATATAACAAGCATAAGAGTGACAGTTAATTGACTGAGTTGGAGCAAGCAATTTATTAAACCTGACCACTCGATAAATATATTCGACTAACTTACGTAGTGTTGGATAGAGAAATATTATAAGATCCAAAAATATTCAAGAAAATTAATAATCTCAGTAGTTGTAAAATGTATATTTAACAACTTAGTACGATGACTTCATTGTTGATATATTATTGGTTAAATGCTGAACTACTGTAGTACAAAATGTCTAAACTACGTATCCTGATAATTGCAACTGCACCGAATGATCTGTTGTTTCAGGATGGTTTTATAATGTTCATACAGAGATCACTTGATAACTGTATCAATAAGATTTTGACATGTGGATCAAATATATTCAAGAGGGGCGTAGAAATATCATAAACATCGACAAATTAAACGATGACCCAAATTTTTCAACCTTATTGCATTTTCTTATACTTGGAATAACCAGATATTATTGACAAAACTAATTTTTTCAAAACTAAGGCGGAATATTAAGTGTATAAATCAGTACATTTATACAAACATACGATAGTTACTTCAATATCTATATATTTAAATGTCAATCGATGTCTGGAAAAGTTTCAGTGCATAATCAGTTTTCTGTATTGAAGATCCTAATAAAAAATTCAATTATCTTGATATGGTTACCTTCCTTAAAAATGGATTATTAATTCATTCATATTAAAATTTATTTTATGAAGTTATTCGATTACTGAAAATGTATCATTAAGTACTACAATCTGATAATCAGATATCAACATATTAATATTTATCCTTAATGTTCATTCAGTCGTTGTTATTTCCGCATCGAAATTGAATGTTGATTATTTTATTATGTGTACATACATACAAAACGTTCTATGCATTACAAGTCCTTTCCATTATCAAAATGATAAATGTACTTTATATATATATATATATATATTGAGAGAGACAACAAAATTTTCACATTATGATCATATCAGATGATTGTATTTTACAACATCTGTATTCAGTGAACGTATGGTCTTTGATTTTCATTCAGGTTTTTCTGGACACTATTGATCGGGGTTTCGCGTAAAAGATACTATCCGACATATAAATCTTCAAGTAATAAGTGTTTAGTTGAAAAGAAATGTTTATTATCCAGACGCCAAACATACAGTAATAAAATATATCAAAGACGAAAATTCAGGGAGGGTCAGTGAAATAACTAACAGAGAGCATGCAAAGGATATAGTGAGAATTGTATCGGGTTATAGCTGGTGACTACAAGTTATGTAAATGTGAGGTTGCTAGATACATTCACTAAAGTTGTATGCATGAATCTTAACCATCCTTTTCTTGACTTTGTTCCAGAATAATAATCGTGCAATGACTCATGTACTCAATTTCGTGCTGAAATGATAATTTCCGGCTCCTAAATCAGATTTCTAATGCTCGGAATCTGAATATCAAGTGAAATGAAGGGATTACAAATTTTGATCTTATGATTAAAAACCAAGTACCATAACCATAAGTTGTAACGGTATTCATTGACTGAACAATAAAATGGGAAGATGCACTAACAGAAACATGTTCTGGTGACTTTTTGACAATTTAAAATGAATGTCATCAGAGAATAGTAACAATAAAGCCGCAAGTTAATAGTTGTCGAGTTATATGTGAGTTTATAAATGCCTCAGCATTTTACCTATCAATCTCGAATTCTGAATTGGCAAGACATAATCATTAACCAGTTCAACAATAATGACATGACAACAAGCCCATATATATGTATATATATATAACTAGATGACTAATTCAACTGATTTCGAGACATTTTAACCGGCTACATATTACATTGCATCATAACATTTGATAAATCCATTCAGACTACACAGCAATTTACACGTTTGTTGCTGTGCTACTTAGTTAACCTAGATATTGAAATCGTGAGGTCACACAACTTTACTTATTCAGTATATCATACATTGTCTAAATACGAAAGAAAAATTTCCATGTATGTATTTTATGTGAATAAAATATAGGTGAAAATTGCTAGGATATATTTTTATTTAGAATGGTTATATTTCAGAATTATTGAACCGATTTAAAACCATATTTCATATATTCCAGGTCATGAGAAATATAATTCTTTATCTAGAAACTAAACTAAACTCTAGGCATTCGGGAAATTAGCTATACACATCCCGTATCTCTCTTAGTCATTCATGACAATGGAGGTTAAATACGTCCTCAACACGATTCAGTATTTTTACTTCTTCGACTTATTTACTGAACACTGATTCGGGTACCAGGTTATGATCCACATCGTAAGCACAATATATAGTGATATTATCGAGCGTCCTAAGCCAAAGTACGTGGAACAGGGTTCGAATTTAAAAAGTCGAAGGGTTTAGTCATTGAGGATCTACTCGAGTAGCTTCATTACCACGGTCAAATTGGCAATGATCTTGTCTCACATTTTACAAATTATACTTCTATTGCTAAAACGGAGTATACAGACGTTCATAGACGATTATGTTATATTTATCTGTCTTATCCGTTTACACTAGCTTTGAACACTTATCAAAAGTATTAAATCACTGACTATATAATCAAAATGTTACTGTTTATCAGGTTTCTTGATGTTTTTACACAAAAAAATATTACATAAATATTTATGAAATGTTTGATGCACTTCTAATGATTAGACTTACATGTGAAATATTATCATCTGAGTTTGGGTATTGGTTATCATTGTTACATGCAAGATAGGTGGTCATTGTATAATAAGAATAAGTATATTAGCTAATAATTCCAATAGTTGTAAATCCAAACTCAAAGTTTTTTTTATGAATCCACTAACTGTAACAACACATTTAGTGTTTACGATTAGCGGTGTCAAATGTTGAATATTAACTCGTTTGTCAGGCGACTGGCTAATAGATGTTTCTATCTCTAATTAATCAAATATCATATACTAAACTTACACGAGACTCAGATTTCAATTGACCAATCATCATCTTAAAAGAAATTGACCAATCATAATGATAGTAAATTCTGTGAAATTTTCTAATGGTTGATTAGTTAGGTGTTTTTTTATTGGTTAATCAACTTTTTTGTCTGATTACTTTAATTTTATCATGTAATTGAGTTAAAATTTGCAAATTTACATTCTCTTTGACCATTGAGATTAACTGTGTAAAGTTATAGAATATTGGGTAGGGAAAACGTTGACATCCATACTTCTTTCATACCTTCTCGTTTACAAGCATCCATTGGAAATCTAATATAGCTGATCACAGAAGCCATGTAGAAGCATGTATAAATGGTTGTAATCATTTAATCTGTTCGAAGGATTTTTGAAATCTTTTTATTGGTTGGGATTAGTCCTTTTAACAGTGTTAGAAATTGTGTTGATCTTGTAAAAACCCAAATACTTAGCTTTTAGTTATTTTTTGTTTTAAAAATGAATTTTAAAGTATTTTACAGATAAGGAAAAGAAACAGCCTTTAATTACATTACTCATTTTCCAAAAAATATCAAGGTATTCACCAATATATTCCATTCGTAATATTCGCCAAAATGAAAAAAAAAATAGTTAAAAGGTTATCAGCTCCACAAGGTGATCATTAAAAAATAATCGATCATCACTAGTAATCATATCAGACAACTAGAAATGAATGATAATTATTGATAAGGGTAATAAAGGAAAAACAGGCCTATAACCGTGGCACTAGTTTTAGTTTTTGAGAAAAATAATGGATTTTAAAGATAATTTTCATTAAGAATTGAAAGTACCTGTAGAACTTTAGAAAACGCAGCGATATTGGAAGACAATTTTAACCCAGCCTGAGACTCTACAACAGTATAGACGGGTACTCTAGGTTTCTCAAATGGAATTACATCAGTTGGTCACTATTAGTCACTTGCCGGATGGATTTCCCAAAATTTTATTTACTCATCATGAAATGTGAAGTCAACCAACGTGAAGTTACCTGGCAAATCCAAGCAAAATGAACCTCACTATATTGCGAAAAATTCAATGTTTTTGTTCACAAAATATGTGGACATTTCATTTTTGATCTGATACGAAGTGAGACAAAACTGGATTTCAGTGTCTCTTAGTTTTTTATGATTAGTCAGTTTACACTACTCAGTAATTAACACTATAATTAGATAAGTATATTCGTTCACATGTTAAAAATACACGCGAACTGTATTTGAAATAAATCAGATTTTAACTTGTGTTATTGTTTATATTTTGTGAACAATCTTTATTGCTTTTCAACAAAATGAAACAAAAATAAAATTTTAGACTACTGAAAATATTATACTTTTTCTAATACATTGTTATCATTGTGATGTAGGTCATATGAATAACTGACATTTAAGTGATTTAATGCATGTAGTTGGTGTTGAACAGAAACATTGTTATGTGCTTTTTCATTTTCTAGTAAATTTCTGTTAATATCTATTCATAGACGGATGAAAAAGATATTGCTTATTTGAATTTATTTGAACAATTAGCTCAAATAGTAGGTGAGCATCACATCCTTTAAAAGATGTTTGACACTGAGTGCTATAGTAAACCTGAGTTTTAAAACTAGTAACTATACTTAATGAGACAGAATCTCCAGATAGAGATATGTAGCTCCTCCAAACGTTGTATCCATATCGTCGGATCATTGATAAAGGAGAAAATAGTATTAGTCGGGGACTAATATTTGTTTGTGTACAGAAATAGTCAAGTATATCGAGAAATCTCTGGGATGCTTAAATGCATACTTTCAACAAATTGAATACATTTAAAGTAACAAATCCATCGTTATTGCTAAATATCTGTCGAACTGCTTACCATCAACTCCGCATATATTAACAAAGACTATACTTTTTTACAGTCGATAGAAGCAGGTCTTGAAATACATAAATAAGGACAGGATGCTTACTAAACTTCATGGGAAGAAAATAAGCCAAATTTTTATTTATTTCTCACCTAGGATTCTAAGACTAAATATTTACATATAAATCATAAAAAAATGTACAGAATAAGCTTAAAAGTAATCGAAAGTAGAAGTGAAGTTTGTTTTAGTTTAATTTACTCGGATTCTTATTGTTTAATATGGAATTCTAGGATCGAAAACAGTTTCCATCATGGACTAACTAAGCAATCGACCATTGGGGATAAGGGAACACTGGATATATGTATTGTCCCAGTAAAAAACCTTAACAGTTCTGAACCACGACTTTGTAGCGGGTCAAACTCAAAGAATTCATTTCTCGTTGTAAGCGAGTTATCTTCCGAATACTGGAGTAAAATATGGTTTGTCACATTTCAAACTTCAGTCGACGCAAAGTGTTGTGTGTCCATCAATATTTATCATCGGTAATAACTGTCTCACGCCTGATTTAGTTGAAACCAAACATTTTATGACACGTATGTTTCTGGAAAATTATTCAGGAAAAAACAATTTCAGTAGGTCAGATTACGAGTTTAACTTTTCGCAGTTCTCGAATTCATCGTTATAAAAAGGATTAAAAATATAATTCCCACATAATAAAATATGTTGGTACCCACCATATTTGTATGAAAATGGAGAATAAACTGGAAACCAGTTGAATGATCAGTGAATTCATTCAAAAAGTGATTTGATTTTGAATAGTTGAATTCATATTATAAAATAATTTGAGGAAAATTTTTAATGATAATTAACGGCCAGTAGAAGGTAGAAAATAATGAATAATTATCTATTGTTTTAGAAGCCGTCAATTGTTCAGTGTTATAGCTCTATTTGGAACTAAACTCGTGGATCAGTTGGTCTGTAAATTATTTTGACTTTTTCCAGTTATGGGTGTACAACTCTTCATTACACTAACAAATTGGTATTTTAAACGATCAACTTTAAAATGAAACTAGACATGACACATTAAAATTCTTACATAACTATTACCAAAAAAATATCTGCATTTTCCAGAGCACAGTTCATAAAGGTCATCAGCATACGGGTATCTATAAATATTTATTCCTTTTAACCATCTAACTTAACCTCTGGCTAACCCGCTTTCTGTTAAGGATGTAGACATATGCATGTTTAATGATTTTCTTGAGTTTATTTTCATGTTGAAATGATTAGTTTGATTGAAATTCAGACATTTGTTTACAACATGTACTGGTCTAAAATACACGAGTGTAAACTCACCCCCATACTGCGTATGAAATATGTTTGGTATAACACAAAAAAATTCACTGTTAATTTCAAGACAGGTTAATCAATTCTTATTTTCCAGTTTTAAGTTTATTATTTTTCGTGATAGAGTACATACGATTACTTGAACGTGTTTGATTGAGATAATTAATCGACCAATGTTAGACCATCATTGAAAACCTAGAAGCACTGGAAGGCCGTTTCGTCCTAACCTGAGACTTCTCAATAGTACACATCCACGATCCCTCACCAAAGGAATTCGAACCCAGGACCTTCGGTCTCACACGCGAACACTTACCCTCTAGACCACTGAGCTGACATCCAACTGTGTTAACGTCTAACTTTAACCAATCCGCGAAATTGCGCGATCATCTTCTAATGATCTAGAGGTTAGCCATTCACGCGTGAGACCGAAGGACCTGGTTTTGAGTCGCTTTGATGAGGGATCGTGGACGCGAACTACTGGTGAGCCCCATGTCAGGACGAAACGGCCGTCTAGTGCTTCCAGGTCTTCAGCAGTGGTCTAACATTGGTCGATTCCTGGTCCCATTAAAAACCTGAGCAATCTCCACAACCCTATACTGATACTTGAATGTCTGTTCAGTTATTTTAAAGGGCAGATAACTTAGACACCTTAAAACAATTTTACCAGGTTATGGTCCTTTGAGGACTATTCATTTGATTTGTTTGAAAAGAAAATAGTTTCGGATCTGTACTGACGATGATCACAGATTTCAACATATAAATCTTGGGTCTGAACTGAAAAGCTGACAGATATTTAACAAATAAAATTGTCAGGATATCGTAATAATATTACCATAAGTTAACAACTAATAGTCAATTTTGTACTGTGAATAGTTGGCATGAGAGATAACGAAAAATGATGTCAACGAATTATCAAGATGTTAAAGGGAGATATCGCAACTTGACATCTTAATTAATAAAGCAGTGAGGTGAAGAGATTTTGACTCATGCACGGAACAACCACTCATTTAGACAATCAGTGCATACTGAATTCTACTTGCTAGCCGTCATAACATAATATTACTCAGTCAATTATCACCGAGTTCATCCAGTTTTAGTCACAACATGAAGATTAATTCATAAAAAATTATTTATCAAGTGTTCTGAAAAGTATACATCATCAAAATTTCCTTTGCTCCAAACGGTTTTGTGTATTATTCTCACTATAAATTATTTAGTCTATTTTAATTGACAAACTTTCAAGTTAATTGTCTAAATGTCATATTGGTAATTTGTAAATTCCTACTTCTTAACCTCCTTTTGTAAGTAATTTGCTTGATCTGTTTTTGGTACATTAACACTAAATTAAGTGTATCATACAAAACAATTTGAATAGTCAATCTCTCAAAAGTACAAAACAAGACTTTAGACTTACATAACAAAATAAGAAATCACTTATGTAATAATACACCTAAATTAAAATACTCCCAAATGACAAATTAGGAAGATATTCGATAATTACATCACAAACATGATGGGTATTATGACTAGAATGTATTCTTATTAACTGATCTGTACCAGTGGTAATCATATCAATCAATACCTATGAAACC